GCCGGGTTTTTTTATTATCGAAAAGAACCGGAACCGGCCCGCCATATGTCCGGTTCCGGGCCGAAAACCGGCTTTTCCGGGCCGGTCCGGGCCGGGTTCGGTCCGGGTCCGGGCCGGTTCGGCGGGCCGGTTCAACCCTTGGCCATGTCTACTAGCATCATTTTCTTTGACAACCTTTTAATGCCTGCCAAATATTTTGATATAGAGGTGAGAAGTATCCTTTGACAAAACATTTGACAACCTTTGTTGAAGTGATATAAAAATGGAGGATACTTCTCACATTTATATCAAAACATTTGGCAACCATTAAAAGGTTATTAAAGAAAATGATGTTAGTTCCTCCATACAGTAAGTTGATCTTTTGTTTTCCAAACTCTCTCACCAGTTGACTTACAACATGGATATTATGAGGAAAATTGACAAGTTTAGGACCACCAAGAACACATATGATTTTTATAGGTTGAAGAACCTTAGTAGCTTGAGAAGATTCAGAAACCTGCATTTGGAGTGGAGAGATATTTGATTATAAGGAATGATCGACTTATTTAAAGAGAAAGTTTAAGAAGAGATAAGTATTGTATTGTTGCACTCGGATGCTTGAACTCGGCAATTAACTCGTGCTTTCTCGAAAGCACTCTCGCTAATGCTCGGCCCGCTTAACAAGGGCCGACGGGGTACCCGAAGTCGCCGCATGATATGAAGCTCGCCGGTATTGACGGAATAAAAAAAAAATATCTGTTGTCCGTTTTCTTCCCGGCAGACTCCGAAATACTCGATAAATGGCTCGAATGACATCGTACGGGAACGGTCTACACGTCCCGGCTTCTTTTTCGGTAAAGCGAAATGTAACGCGACCCCGCGGGGCCCACGAAAACGACAATTACTTGCCCAAAAAAATGAAATAATTGGTGATTTGTTAATTATTTAACCCGTGAGGAATAGAAGTAGCCCGAAAATTGACCGAGAAATCATGGTTGTGTAGAAGGGTTCATTGGCGACATATAGGAAGAAGCGAAAATCAATTTCGAGCTTGGACAAGTCCGAACGGGTCCAAAATGCAAAGTCGCGTGAAACACGTTTAATGTGTAGGTCAAGAGTTTTGAGAGAATATGATTTCAAGAATAATTTGGTCATGCATGCATCATTGAATAGAGGGCCTCGTTAGCTACGTATAGGAAAAAACGGAACTCAATTCCGAATTCAAACGAGCCCAAATCACAAAACACATACTACATATTAATTTTTTTATTGATTTTAAAATATAAGACGTAATATCAAAATACGTTTTATTAAAATAACATTTTACAAATATAAGACGTATTATCAAAATACGTTTTTTTAAATATTTTAAGTATAAAAACATATTATGAACATACGTACTTTTTATATTTGTCCACAATTTTTTTTTCCTTTTTATTTTTGTCCAGTTAATTTTTTTGTTTTTTTATGTATATAAACTGCCCACAACACGATACTAATGAACCATCGTTAAAAATTCCTTAAAAGTGTATTTGTTTATAAATTATCTCAATTTAGACTAAAAATTAAACTTAACTATAATTCAACTCCACTATCCTCAATATTATCAATATAATTAAATAATATCAATCAATCATTCTTACACATCACATAAACTTTAATTTATTATCCATTCACTCAAATAAAACTAACAAATAACAATCACTTCACTTCATCTCTATTACTTTTACATCAAATTAATTTTAATTATTTTATTTTAAATATTATTTTAATATAAACTCGAAATCCCACTAACAACTAACCGTACTAATTTTTTCAAAATTAACCTTGATTAATTAAAAATCTCTTTCTTTTGAAAAAATATGAGGATATTATCTCATGGTCAAACAAACCATCACCAAACATGGCAAACCAAACACAGTAATGTCTGATCAAATAAAACATCAGGTGTTGAAGCCTTAACATTTTCTTCAAAGAACTTTCCAATAGAAATTTCTGAAGAAATTATTATGTTCAATAAAGCACCCTCCTAATATGCAGTATTAGCATACAAAATCATCAAAAACACCGGGGGTCCATAAATGTCAATCTACAGTTTCAAAGTGCAAAAGTCCAAGACAATGTCGTGTCACCACGTAAACAAAACATACAACCAAAACCGAATATAAATATAGCTGCAAAAATCCCTTCACATTTGAAAACCAAAAGCATCTTCTCACTAATGCTTTACAAAACTCCAACTTCCAAAAAGATACAGAATACAGATGTGAAACACATCTTTGTATGCAAATCCCTGCAGACAGTTACCCATTACCACCAGAAAAGCTAGAACTGTAATTTTAGAGGGGAGAAAACAATGACAAACACAAGCATGGAGACCAGAGGCTCAATCTCCTTAAAATAGCGCATCAGGCTTTGATGCGGACCACAAACGAACCTGCTCAGTAAATGAGAATAAAAATATATCCTGTTTTAGTCGAGGATAATAAATAAAAATGACCAGCGTAACCTAATGCATTTAACAATCAGATTTTCAACATTTCCACTGTGCAACTACATCAGGGATGAACCAGACATGAAATATCTCGGCGTGAATGGCTTAAGTTTACTTGCTAGTCATACATACAAAAATGATCGTAAAATCTGAATCTTTACAGTTAGGAAGGAAAAGGACTTCCATTTTCATATAAGTAGAAAGCAGAGTTGATATAACCAACAATGATATGTATAAATGATATCCCATATAAATACTCTCTCAACACTCTAAGACGGAACTCCGGCTCGCACAGTAACTTTTCCCAATTAATTGCTCTGTTTGGATGTTAGCGGATTTGAACCTCATTTAGTCCAAATCCGCTAATTAACTTGTTTGGTAAAGAGCTTATTTGATTAGCTTTTTGAGCCCAAAACGCTAATTCTAAAAAAGCTCAATATAGGAGCATTTCGAGAAGAGAGAACTCATAGAATAACATGTCAACGTAAAATTTCCAAAATGACTATATAATCAACTATTTACTAAACAGTTCTGCTAGTCAAATATGCTATTAGAATCCTCTATCAGCTATCCGCTAATACAATCAGCAATCCGCTATACGCTATCAACTAATAGCCAAACAGGGCCAATGTTTTAAAAAAAAATTATAGGTTAACATACCGGCTAGATATTTAACTTAACCTTCAGAATCACAAAAGAGAAAGAAAAAGTGAAACGCGAAAAGTTGGGAAGAAAAGGAAAGAAAGAAGAAAGAGAGAGTTATAACTTGTGGTGCATCTTGACAGAATCAACACTTTTTATTGTAGAATAATAACAGATAACAATCTCTAAAGATACAAAATATATCATCTAACCCTAATGTCTTCTAGCCTACGAGCTTAAACCTCAATTATATACTTAAAAAAATAACACAAAGAGAAAAAGGATCATCAGTAGATCAATATGTAAACACAGGTCTGACAGAATCAATTTTAGAGAAAAAACGAAACGAAGAAAAATGGGAAAAAAAAAATTCAGTTAGCCCCTTACATTGGCCACGTCCAAACCAATAAAAATGAGATGGCTGAAGGAAAAATAATTTGGGGAAATCAGACCTCACCAAACCAATAAAAATGAGATGGCTGAAAGAAAAATGAATTGGGGAAATCAGACCTCACCAAAGCCTATACCTGTCCCTCTTAGTCTCATTTGAATAATTTTTCAACTCTTAGTCTCATTTGAATAATCTTTCCAGGAAAAGTAGAACATATATCGAGGGCGAATGTGTTTCATTAGTCTAATAAAAATGATGCAATATCACACTACAAAGCTTATGCTTGTCCGTAGTAACAAATAATTTCTTTGTGGGCATGCACATAAAGGAAAAAAGACGGAAATCTAAACTCAAGAATGTTAAGCCATGTAATGATAAGCTCACATGCAGGGAGGTTAGCGATATCTGCAGAAACTGCACATGGTATTCCCAAGTTTGAAAGTGCTCCCCTTATAATGCCACAAGGAAAGTAGAGATGCAGGCCAGTTGCTTGTGCAGCTTCGTTTTCTGCCATTGCTGAAGGATCTTGAATAGAACCAGATGTTACCACTGATGGATCAACCGACATATGTGCCAGCCACCGAAACCGATTATCTTGCAATACAAAAGTTCCCTGTAAAGAAAGCAGAACAGAAATCATAAACACGTCTCATTGAATGAATTAACAATTCTGTTCAAGGCATACTCTATGATTTGTCTTTAAATTGTCAATCTGCTTCTTGAAGAGATCGGACCAAAAGTCCTTGCAAATAAACTTAATGGCCTCCAGGTGATCCGTGAACCTTGGTCTGTCCATTGTGTACCTGCCATGAGAGAACAAATTTGAGAACAAGTATCTTCAACCTGCTGTTAGGAGTCAATGCTCCTTATAAAGCTATAATTTGTGCTTCACGGGCCTCAACTTTCAAGGTGATCATGATTTTGGGACATATAATCCAATGCTTTGTAGTGTATAAAGATTTATCTCACATAAAGAGGTAGAAGACAAGTCAAAGATACACCTAGAGGCTAATTTCACTCCACCATTTTAGTGTTTAACCTGTGTTTCAACAATATGTTGCTCGTCTAGCATTTAAAAATGCATTACGCATTACTACTTCAGATGGGTACAAGGAATGCACTCCAGCCAGATATGAGTTATTCATGTGGGTATATCTAACATTCAGGAAGGTCTACCTATTCCGCGTTAGTCGAGACAAACGTTCACCTCACACGAGAGGGTAACTCAGTTCACCATCAGTGCCTCCTTTTAGTCGAGACAAACGTCCACCTCACACGAGAGGGTAACTCAGTTCACCATCAGTGCCTCCTTTCTTCTTCTATCCTTGCACACGACAGAACACAACTTTCCACCATTCTAAACTTTCCACCTCAGCTCTAAAGAGGCGTATATGTTTGTTCCAGGACAATGTAGTCATGAACAAGGAAATAGACTCTAAAAGGAGACCAACAACAAAGAATAATCCAATTAGAACAAATACTGAGTCACAGTACTTTCCCTAATTTAATCGCTGTCCCATGAATAAATCCCTGTGTGAATGCATTTGATTTGTTCAACCTCTCAATTCAATTGAACCGGTTTTGCACAGACTTTCTGAATCGCGGTTTCAGTGCAGAAGTATATGGGAAAATACAAGACCTCGCAGCTCATCAATCTTGTGTGTATCGTGTGTGTAAAGCAGAAAGTAAAAGGAAAAGAAACAAAAGATACTACCTCTCAGAAAGTCGATGGCCGACCTGGAAGCCAATGGCTTCGATCCTTGGGGCAGCGAGCTCGGGCTTGTTAGCATAGACGCCCTGGCAGTAGGACGACACTATCTCCGCCATCAAACTCTCCACACAGCTTTCTGCCACTTCTCTCACCATATCTTCCCAGAGTGGGATTCACTTGCGATACAGCAGCAGAAGATGGTATGTGTAGGGGACGATTGGTTAGGAGTTACAATTGATCGTTTAGATTTGATCAATTTGTTTTTTTTTTTACTCAAAATCTATATCTATAATTTAACTTAATATCACAATCATTATTATTATCAATATAATTAAATAATATCAATTTATTGTGCATTACATCAACTTTGATTTAATATTCATTCGCTTATTATTGGGTTACTACCTCCTGGTAGAACAGGATAAGAAGAGCTCTGATCTACTGGAGCAACCGCACGTAGACCTGCAGGAACTCAGCGCCGGAGATAATTCTAGCTTAAAGCCTTTGATGCTTCAGCTAAAGGAAGATGATGTTGCTATATAAATAAGAGAAGTATTGAATGTATATAGAGTGTAAAAATTAGGGTTTTATGATACCTCTGTCCCTTTTATGGGAGATATTTGCCCGAAAGGTTCTGCTCCAAAGCTCGCGGGCAGCCTGCCCGACTGCCCAGACTTAGTGCTTATTCATATCCTAATCAACTCCTAGTCACCTTTAGATTCCATCTTATTCTCTTAAGATTTCTTCTTATCTTAGATATCTGTTGATTTTAGGTCACGACCTTCATCGAGGTCGTCCGCTCCTCAGTCCGATAGTCCAGGCCGAACTATTTTGGTGGTTTAGGTCGTCTTTGCATGGTCCAGTTCGTTTTAGGGATCCTTAGGTTGCTTTAGGTCTAGGTTATCCATATGTCTCCAGGTTATTGGCCTCCAGGTCGTCCGATGCTGAAGTCGTCGCGCTCTCCCCACTTCTAAGCCTTTAGGTCACTCTGACAGGTCGTGTTCTGCCCCTGTCGAGCTCCCCGTACTTGGTGTATTTTCGGTTCACACATATATGGTCATATCACTCACATATTTCTAACTATCTATCACTCTCACCATCTCTTTCTTGCTCTTACACCACATCAACTTTAATCAATACATTTTAAATATTACTTAATTATAATTTCTCTCATTTCACTCAATCAGTTTTATTCAAAATAACTTATTTTAACTTAGGATCAATTTTAATCAATTTTAACTGGTTATGATTGCTTACCAATCATTCCCTTATATACGCATATTCTTGTGGAGGCGCTTATGAGCATGTCGTACATTTTTAAACAAAAATATGTATTTATGATATGAAATGTCATATTTTTATTTATTTTATTTTTTAAAGCATAACATTCTAATTTGAAAGTATGGTGTTAAAAAAGTATGAGTATCCAACTATATATGCTAGTGAGAATGTGGGAGCACTTTTACACCTGACCCATATATCCCCATCTACAGTAGAAAATTTCTTTGCGCTTCTGAGTTCCTTCTCACATCCCACACATTAGACATGTGCTCTCATATTGCTTTGCATGTAGAACGATACATCTCCCTTCTTATAGCATTGGGAAGACTACACCCCAAGACTGAATAGGGTGCAAGTCGTGACACGTATTTATACCGTTCACATCGTCGCCTTTCAAGTCTCCTCACCCTCGCTCTGTTATTTGGCTTAGACCCAACTTACCCTGGGTCGAGCTGAACATTAATGGTGTCAAAATTTGACAGACACGCTAGAGCTACGGAGGAGGTCTAACTCGGGACTACATCAGAGAGCTCATCAGCGCTTTCCATGCACCCTTTCAGGCTTCCTCGAGCTATGACGCAATATTCAGGCACTTCAAATTGCTACACAGCTCTTTACACACATTTGGATTTAGCGAGATGTTGCTGCCATCGCCACCCTTATAACTTTGGGTCATCAGAGCTCGTGGCAGATCCAATACACACTTATGCGCATCAGATCCATACTCAGTCGATTCATTGCAGGATCACACACATCTCCTGTGAGGAGAATCGACATGTCGATTATCTCGCTGGACTTGGCACAACCATCCATGAGAGATGCACTTTCCAGGCTGATACTTCCCCACTCTGCCTACTTACACTAGTGTGAATGGATCATCTTAGCTACCCATCTTTCCGCTTTCATGAGATTAGTTTGCTTTTGAGTTTTTCAGATGTCGCCCACTTTTGTGGAGCAAATTGTATTTCTGGGCGACATTTATTCTTGTTTTTTATCTTCTTTTCTTGTACTGGTGTTATGTGGACTCATTATGTTTTCGCCCCAGTTGGAATTTGATCTATGCACATGTTAGGGATCCAACACTCCTAGGACGTTTTTCCTAAAAAAAAATTGGTAGGTCTATCGCCTACATAGAAATAGCCTTAGTATGTCTAGTTAATCTAGCTGAAAAACTAACTGACATATGATAAGTTTCTTGAGAACTTATAATAGCATGATTGGTATAAGGGAATGACATGAGAATAGAATGATCATTTCTTTACTCATTCATTATCCCATGATTGGTATATTTTTTTTAAAAGATCATTAGGTCTGTCGCCTACATAGAAATAGCCTTAGTATGTCTAGTTATGAAAAACTAACTGACATATGATAAGTTTGTTGAGAACTTATAATAGCATGATTGGTATAAGGGAATGACATGAGAAATGAATGATCATTCCTATACTCATCCTTATCCCATGATTGTTATATTTTTTTTTTAATGGAATGACTATTCCAATGTGAATTGCAAAACTTATCTCCATGGAATTAGTCATTCCATAGCAAATGTAATGTTTTCTCATTCCCATACTTGTAGGAATCATTTTTTCACAAAATAAGATGAACAAATAATAACAAAAAATAAATATATAATATATATTATAAATCATGATTAAATTATATTAAATAAAATTATTTTAAACAATAAAATTTCAATAAAAAGTTTAAAAACTTAGTTTTATTTATTGTTCATATTTTAATTAGATATATTAAATACGTACAACAACAAAAACAATAAAAGCCGATAAAGTCCTGCTAAGTGGGGTCGACTATATGGATTACATGTCGCTATCGTGCTCGATCAAAACACATATCCTCATTCGAATTTAAATATTTTAAATCATTTTTTTTATTGTTTTCTTTCAAGTTTTCTTAGGTCTATCTCTCCCATTTTCAATTTGCGTTATTAATTCTAATGTTTCTACCCTTTCTCACCCAGGTCTTGAAGTCTCTCATACGCACATGCCCAAACCATCTTATATAAAAATAAAACTAAAAAATATATTTATAAATAATTTAAAAAGATATTATTTTATTCTTATACATCATAATATAGAAAATTATATTTGACCACATATGCTTCTAGGGGTTTATGTAATGTGTATTAGTAAATATGTATATAAATAGACAATTCACTATTTATTATATAATGCATATGAATGTAAAATACACAAATATATTTCTTAAAATATAGTATATCTTGAAACAAAAAATAATTTTATTATTATAATAAATAAAAAATAATATTAATATAAATATTTTTTTCTATAAAAAAGTGATAAATGATAATATAAAATGATAATGTCAATTCATTCATGTCTTATTTCTTCTGCATACCAAACACATCAATGAAAAAACTTGTTTCATTCCTTTCTCATATTCATTTCATTCTTCTACTCATTCCATTCTTCAACTCATCCCATTCCTATCAAATTTCATTTCATTATACCAATCATGTCATTAAGTGGATTTCAAAATTATAGCTAATAACTTATGGATTGTGTGGTAAATTTAGGAGATAGATGATAAGTTAGTTGATAGCACATAAGTTAATTTCAAGCTTATAGTTGTTGGCTTATAACTAATAACTGAAAGCTAGCCGATATAATAAAAGTGTTTGATTAAAGTAGCTGAAAAGTCAATTAAAATTAAAATTTTAACGTCCTTTATTTAAAAAATGTCATATTTTTATTTATTCTATTTTTTGAAGTATGATATTTTATTTTAAAAGTATGGTGTTCAAAAAGTATTGACTTCCTAACCATACTAGGGAGAATGTACGAAAGTATGACATTTTATTTCGTACAAATGTTTGAGGTGAAGAAGCGAGAGTGATTTATTATGTTTCTTACACATAAATATTTGAGGTGAATAACTATATAAAGCTAAGAAAGAGTGATATATTACGTTTTCTTGCATCTGAGAATCCTAATTATTTGGTCCGACCATTAAAGACTACGGTTAGATAAGTTTAATGATTAAACAATTATACTTCTAATAATAATATCATACTTTAAAAATCAACATAAGTAAAAGTATAATATTTCATAACATAAATATGCAACAAATAGTAAAGGTGGCCCCCAATTCCAAAATCCTAAAGCTAAGTTGATGCAGAAATGTATACTACAAACAAAACACACAGATAAGTTTTGCAGTTGATAGAGTGAATATTCACCACTCATTTCCCTTTTTTTTTTTCTTCTTTTTATTTATTTATTTAATTATTTTTTGCCTTCTCCAGATGACCTAATAATTCCAAGTAAAACTTATATAGCTGCCCCCTTATAATTTTTTATTGTCATTTAATAAGTGGTTGGATAAACTGGAAGAGTCTCCAATTTTCCTGTTCTTGAAGGGCTCCAATGGCTGCTATTTCAGCTAGCTGTATTAGATTTGGGACTTTTTCAGCTGCCAGGGCTGATAATTACCAGGTGAACATATTTATTTAAATGTAACCTTTTAATTTATTTATTCTTTTATGACATGTGTGGCTCAATTTTTTTACATTATAGCTTCTTCTCTATTTAGATGTTTTGTTCAATGCTATTTTTGTGCAGATTGCATATATTGGTTCTAGTAAGGCTGCTATTAGGCAAGCGTAATGGTTTTGCAATATGTTCATACTTTCTAAATTTAAATTTCATACTTTAAAAACCAACACAACTAAAATATGTCATTTCATAATAAAAGTATGCATTTTTATTAAGACAGTATGATGAGTCGACCCGTTTAACAATTGACCACTTCACATAAGAATTTGTGTATTGACTCATATTCCTGTTGCAATTAAAACCGTATGGATTTCAAATCCAACGTTTTCTTCAACTGCATTCCATGTCTATGTACCTTTTGTTCTTAGTAATTAAATTCTAAAGTGTGTTCATATGTGAAGTAGTCCCTTTGCTAGTATAATTGCAATGTGACTCTCATATTACCCTTTCGAAAACAAAAAAAGACGAAATTGCCCCTAATATCGTGACCTTTTTCGAAATTGCAATTTAATCACGATTTTTTTACTTTTGCAAATTATATCACAATCTTCAGTTTGTTGCAAATTGGTAATGCACCGATTTGCATATCCCGTGCAAACTATATCACAATCTTCAGTTCGTTGTTCGGCCACATCAAATTTTCTATGAGTGTTTTAAGACTGTTTGCAACAAACTAAAGATTGTGATATAATTTGCAAAAGTGAAAAGATCATGATTAAATTACAATACTTCTATAAAGGTCGTGATATTAGAAGCAAATTTGCCAAAAAAATAAAGACTTAAAATATCGGAAGCTTGCATTATCTCCGAGTTGCTTGATGGCATGCGTTACTTGTTTATTGCGAATGCAACAACTCATTATACACGACGCTAATTGATATTATTCTTTATTTTCTTTAGTACCTTCATTCTTATAATTTGGTTCGGGTATTGCTAAAGTCATCGTTTTCTTGCAGATAATCGTTAAAACTCCGACCTTGGGCTGGGCAAGGACTGGAAACTTTCCTTACATCAGAAAATCACGGCTCCAAATTTGCGCTGTACATATCACTTAACAAATTTGTACCTAACATTTTTCAATACCTCTTTTGAAGTTTGCTCATCTCCTTTACTTGTTCGGACGTTTGGTGAGAGCATTTGTTTTCACAGGCGAAGCCAGAGACAGTGGAGAAAGTGAGTAACATTGTGAGAAAGCAGTTGGCCATATCACAAGAGACTCAACTCACACCTCAGACTACCTTCTCGGAGCTTGGTGCCGATTCTCTTGACACTGTAATTCCTTGTAACTCAAAACTCTCGATTAAGTTTCCTACTTAAATGTTTTCTATCGACCATTTATATGTGCTTAAGCCTTTCAAAACAAGTGAATGCACGATGATTGTCCTGTCTTTCCGTTGCGCGTAAGTTTATGTTTCTACGTATTTGGATTTCATTTGAATAGTCACATTGGATTTAAAGGCTAGAGATTACACTCAAAATGTTAATCATTAAGAATTAGTAATAATGTGGACTAAGATGGTTTGGGAAGTGCATGTGCAAGAAGCTTCAAAAATAGGTAATTAACACTTATATAAATGGAAATTTCGGGTACTATACTAAGTAGTAATGAAGCCTACGGTTTGGTTTGGACAGGTGGAAATAGTTATGGGGCTAGAGGAAGAGTTTGACATAAATGTGGAAGAAGAAAACTCGGACAACATAACAACGATACAGGAAGCAGCCGATTTGATCGATAAACTTGTCGAGAAGAAATGACGATCTCACGAGTGGCCGAGAAAGACTAGGAAAGGATTTTTCTAGTGATTTTTAGAGCACGAGTTGTTTTTTCGAATTCAACAGGCCTGTTTTTTTTNCAAAAACATTTGAGACTTGGATGTTACGCACTTTTTTTTTTCTTTTTTACTTGCAAAGGGATTTTTTACTCATGTTATCATGTTGATTTTGTTTTGGTCACGCTATGTATTTGAGTGGTCTTTATATAATGCTAATGTATATCACGTGCGATGTAAGGAGGAGTTCATATTTTAAACCTTTTTTTAGACTTTATTTTAAACATAATTCTTTATATTTTTTACATCTAATCTCATTATGGAAATAAAATAAATACAAACAATGAAAAATATATATTATTAAACATTTCTCTTTATACAATATTTTTTATTTAAGGAATATTATTAAATTTTAAGGTATTGAATTATTTGTTTTAAATAAATTATCTAATATATGATTGTCAATGTACCAAAAATAATAGAAATAATCCAGACTTTAAAGTAAAACTTTTTTTTTTTACAAATCAAAATCATCCATTTTTTTTTTAATTTCAAAAACTTTGGCAAGTTTGTTAATGAGATAAATCAAGTTATATAAATGAAGTTAAATATTATATTAATTATATTTTAAGAAATCCTATTATATAAATGCGGATATAAAATATCATATTAATTAGTTTGTTAGGAATATGATTATATAGAAGTTAAAATAAAATGAAATGTAACCAAAAAATCTGTTCGTGATTTTTTTCTTCAAATGTTTGAATTTAAAAATCTAATAACCAAATATAGATTATATCACATAAGGAAAAATAAATAATAATGTTTATTAATATATTAAAAAAATGACTGACGTTCTTTCATACCAGCCAACGCCCTTATACATGAACTTAGGTCTCCGAGCCCCTTAATTTTGAATTTCAAATAGAGTAAAAGGTCGAACAATTGAATTTGTTTTCAAAATGTTTTTAAAGTGTTTAATATTCTGGTAAGTATACCTGTAAGAATAATCTTACTATTAATTTAAAAAATTTTGACAAGTTTGTTAATGAGATAAATCCGGTTAGACAATATATTAATTAGTTAAAATATTATATTAATTATATTTTAAAAAATTCGGTTAGATAAATTATATTAATTAGTTTGTTAGGAATGTGATTATATGAAAGTTAAGATAAAATGAAATGTACCCAAAAATTCTAATTGTGATCTTTTCCTTATGTTTGAATTTAAAATCTAATAGCCAAATTTAGATTATATCACGTACGGAAAAAAATAAATAATAAACATTTATTAAAGAGATTAACGTTCATCATATTTTCATGCTGTTGGTGAAAATGGATTTCACCCGGGCTCCTTCAACTCCGACGGCCTCTATACCTATAAGAACTCAATGTCGGGAGAGGTTTCGGCGTCAGGCCTCCGACGCTCAAGTCAATATCACCCCAAAACTCCAAATCCCAAGAGTATAATTATGAATGTAGAGAGAGTGAGGGTTTGAGATACCTTGGTCCCTTTTATAGAGGGAGTGTAACTTAGTGCCCAAGTTGGACTTGGCCCATATCATTATGTCATGTGTCCTATCCCATATGTGGGCATATTATCCAATATATTCCTTCTTATCCATTAAAGCCGGTCTAGTATAATATCTCATACATCTAGTTCCCCCCACTCTGGTCGAGTAAACATGACTCGATCCAAGAGTGAAATGCCTCTTCGGGCTGTTTCCGTCAACCTGCCACCGAGGTTATAGTTTAAATAAATCTTTGGCCACCAAATAGTCACCAAACCTCCAAATGAGCATCGAGACCCAAATAAACACCGAATGACCACTGAGGTCGAAAACCGAGTGACCTGCCACTGGAGTCGAACACCGAAAACCGAACGACCATTGAGGTCGAAAATTGAGTGACCCACCACTGGGGTCAAACACCAAAAACCGAACGACCACTATGGTCGAAAATCGAGTGACCAGCCACTTGGGACCGAACGACCACTGAGGTCGAAAATTAGTGCCTCGCCACTGGAGTCGAAAACTGAAGGACTCGCCACTGGGGTCGAAAACCGAAAATCGAATGACCACTGAGGTCGAAAATCGAGTGACCCGCCTCTGGGGTCGAACCTTGATTCCTAGAGTAGATTCATTTGCTCCTCATTTTGCAATGTCGACCTTCCTTTTTGATATCTTTCGACCTGCTTAGCTTACTTCGACTTCCATGATACTTTGATAGATTTTTCTCGATCTCTCCCCGAAGTCTTGAATTTGAAAATTTGAACTTTAAGTCTTCTATTTTCCGATCACCATGTTCGAGCTTTTTTCACTCAAAGATAAACCTTTTCGACCACCTCGTCCTGCCGCCCATCAGTTCAAAATTTGAAATACAATCCTGCTGTCTGTCCTCTCGAAAACCGAATATCCTGATGCCACCTTCATGTCGAAAAACCAAATTTGGCGAAACCAATCCAAATAAAACCATCGAATTGAATAACCTGACTCCGCTAACTGTTCCGAGTGAACTCCCTCGACCTGCCATTGCTCGAGTTATCTGTAGTGAACTCCATCGACCTGACACTGTGGTCGAAAAATAAATTCGACAAAACTAAATCAAGTAAAGATCATCGACCTGCCACCGAGGTCTGCAAATAAACTCCATGAGTTGTTCTAAATGAACTCCCTCGACCTGCTACTGAGGTCAAAAAGTAAATTCGACAGAACCGAATCAACTAAATATCATCGACCTGCCACTGAGGTCTGCAAATAAAATCCCTGAGTTGCTCTAAATGAACTCCCTCGACCTGCCATTGAGGTCGAAAAATAAATTCGACAAAATTCAAAATCAAGTAAAAATCATCGACCTGCCACCGAGGTCTGCAAATAAACTCCCTGAGTTACTCTAAATGGACTCCATTGACCTGCCATTGAGGTTGAAAAATAAAATTCGACATGAATCAAGCCAAGTAATAATCATCGACATGCCACCGAGGTCCTCAAATAATCTCCATGAATTGCACCAACTAAACTTTATCAACCTGTCACTGATCTCTGCAAATAAACTCCACGAGTTGCTCTAAATGAACTCCCTCGACCTGCCACTGAAGTCGAAAAATAAATTCGACAAAATTCAAAATCAAGTAAAAATCATCGATCTGCCACTGAGGTCTGCAAATGAACTCCTTGAGTTGCTCTAAATGGGCTCCAGTATGAAATTCGAATTTTAGGTTGATTTGTTATAAAACCAAGGTGATATGATTCTCAAATTTTAGCATATTCCCATAATAAATTTTCATAATATATTAATGATAATTCGCCAAATTGGTATGCATTCCACTTGAAAATTATAAAGATCTTTGAAAAAATATCTATTCTCTTATATATATAAAAAAGAGGGTGTTGCCCTCCCTGCGTGACACCTGTTGCGCTCAAAATCAAAACACCCATTCTTATAAAAAACGATGTCGTTTTGGCAAGTTTGGTTTTGGACCATTGGATTTTAGGAATTAAATCCCTACCATTCGTATGCACCACCTTCTAGCTGAATTTTTTTTCCCCATCGTTCTCAATCTCCCTTCCATATCCTTCCATTATCTTCTCCTCTGAGCTTTTTAGGAGATCGTCGCTCAATCATCGATGTACGATCTTTGCTGTGACGACGGTGAAGATGTCAGAATCCAAGCTGGTAGCCATCTCTTCGGATTCCGACGGAATATTTCCCACTGATTCCGGCGTTTGCGCCGACGGCAAAGACGAACTCCTGTTCGTCGGCATAACGAGAAACCTCGCCGCCAGTGTTTCCACGAACAGGAAACCCGTGGCGAAGCTTTGTATCTCCCTGAAGGTATCGATCTTACCTTTTTATATTTTCAGTTTTAGAAACACTTTACTTTTCACAATTTTGTCAAGGGATGTGACCTTCAGTTGCTTGTGAAAAGTGAAGGAGAGTCGTTGTTCCGATGTTGTTCCATCGTTCAACCGTTTCATCGTCGCTTCCCCTTTCTTCGGTCACAGGCCCTTTGTGGTGCCTCGGGTGATACCTTCTGTGGAGGAGTGGGCTTCGCGACGGGTGATGGGCCGAGGCTTGGTTTGTGTGACGTGCAGTCCGGGTATAAGGTCGACGAACCGAGATCGCCAGCCTTCACCACCACAGAGCCGAGACTCGCCAAGGGTGTCGAGAAGGTGGACGATCAGAGCGAGAAGACTTCGCTTCTTCATTTCTTGGTAAGATTTCGACTGTCGTCCATTATCTTTTATTTCAGCATTTGTTCATACTTAATTTTCCCTTTATTTTGCTGCTATTGAATGAAATTTCTTTTTTGGTTGATTGAAGCTCTAACTGGGAATGTAAAGGGAGCATTCGATTCAACCTCGGCTATTTGAGATCTATCCGGGAGACACATGTGACGAGCAACGGCTTAAAGAAAACTTGATGGGCTGACGAGCTCGAAAGGGAGCTTCCGCTGACAACTAATTCAGCAGTGTCCGGGGATCGCCACATATAGGTAAGAATTTTTCTGGGGCATGTTACTTCTAAGTTTAATGTATAGTCCTTATGAGAAGCATGGTTGTTTTCGGGTATAAGAAGGATGGAAAAGAGTTGCGGCTTTTCAAGAATGTTGACAGGGGCGTAGCCAGAAATTTTTTTTACCCTGGGCTGTAAAATATGTTACTATTATTCGGACCGAGTTGGTCTCTAACATAGTTTGATTCGACTTGTAAAAGTCCGCACTTGTTTATTTAAACAAGACAAAATCGAGCAACTAATCGAGCTTGTCTATCTAACAAGTCGAGTTGAGCGTATTTGCGAATAATTCCGTTAAAGTTTTGGGTTTTGTAGAAGTTTTAAGGTTTACTAAATGAATTGAACTGAGTTTATACGAGTCCAACCCAAACTCAAATTTTTATTTGTTTATTAAACAGATAAGCAATAATAACTCGATTATTAAATGATCACTAGCTCGAACTTCAAATATTCGATTCAAAAGATCTAGCTAGACACATGTTTAACGAAGTCAAAATATGAAAATAATTTTTATATTTAATATAAATTACCTTAATCACATAGTAAATTTAAATACCATTATACTTTCTGACTAGCCGTATTTTATATGGAGTTGACTCTCCTTGAACAAAAACTTGAAATTTTTTAACTAGTCTCTTATATATATAACAAATATTTATTTTTAATTGTTTCATCATTTTTCCTTTAAAAATGTACAAAGATAAATTTTCTCATTTACTTGAATTTTAATTAAAAACAACATAATTTATTCAAATAACTACTATAAAACAGTATAAGAGTCCCGTCATTCGTGTTATATGTCATGTCATTTAAAGTACATATGCCATTTCATTTAATTTGTCAGATAAATCATTGAGATTTAGTAGTAAATTTCATATAATCAACTATCATTTATTTAAAAATTCAGTGAGTATATAAAGTTGATTGTGAAATCTATAAATTCAATTTTATACTAAATATTTTAATAAAAGTCTAGCACAATCAAATGTTGTCTTGAATATAATTATTCAAATAAAATCTATTTAATCAAACAATAGAAAATAAACACGAAAATAACATAAAAGAGGCATAATAATATAAAAGGAAAAGTGGAAAGAATCTTAAATCATGTTCAAATATATAATCTATTGATTTAATGTAAACAACTTTAACTTATTTTGGGTCAAAATAAGATTAATACTGGGCTAATCTATTAATATATAATACAGAGAAGAAAAAATATTTGAACAATTCGTAAAAAAAACATTTCGTTTCCCGCTTAGAAATCATGTTTTTCCTGCTTACATATTTTGTAAATTGTTTGAAATTGTATTTTTGCCGGCCATGTATTCAAATTTGTTTTTGGCTGTATTTTAGTGCTCCGATTAAAATAGGGCTAAATTTTAGCAATCAGATACGATTAATCAAATTTGTTTGTGGTTGGATTTTCTTGCTCCGATTTATATGGATCTGATTTTGTGCGGATGAATCCTTTTAAAATTGGGGGCAAAATATCTTACAAAAATATGTTTATTAAAACTGAAAAATCAAAATTGTTGAGAGATTCAAATCGAATAACAGATTTTAACAAAAATTCCAAGCAAATTGAACAAAAAAATTCCTAAAACAAGCATAAAAATCCCTAAATTTTGAAGAATCTTCAAACCTTATAAAACAAGCATAAAAATCCCTAAATTTATATATAAAAAAAAACTAAAATACAATAAACAAAATTTCGATTTCGACAAAGAAACGAATGATTCTTTTTAAGAATCATAATAATTGTTAAGAAATCGTACAAAATCGATCAAAAACTTAAAGATTTAAAAGGAGTTCTAATCTTCATTCGAACAGATTTAGAAACAAAAAACAAAAAAAAAAAAAAAATT